ACCACTGACATAGAGCAGGAACCTACTGAGGGTCAGGCGTGTTGTCAGGGACGGGAAGAGGTGGGGTGAATGAACTGTAGTCTGTAGTTAAGAGGTAGAATCTGGTGGAGATGAGTTCAATACTTCAATAATTACACCCCCCACCCCCAAGCAAGGCTCCTCGGAGCCTGGGCATCTGGGAAAGGCACAGGCATGTCTCTGAAGGCGACTTGGTTCTACTACAGTCTGATTTTGTTGTTGTTGTTATCATTAATCTACAGTTACATGAAGAACATTATGTTTACTAGGGTCCCCCCTTCACCAAGTCCCCCTAACAAACCCCATTACAGTAACTGTCCATCAACGTAGTAAGATGTTGTAGAATCACTACTTGTCTTCTCTGTGTTGCACAGCCCTCCCTGTGCCCCCCCCCACATTATACATGCTAATCGTAATGCCCCCTTTCTTTTTCCCCGCCCTTATCCCTCCCTTCCCTCCCATCCTCCCCAGTCCCTTTCCCTTTGGTAACTGTTAGTCCATTCTTGGGTTCTGTGAGTCTGCTGCTGTTCTGTTCCTTCAGTTTTTCTTTGTTCTTATACTCCACATATGAGTGAAATCATTTGGTATTTGTCTTTCTCTGCTTACTAAAGTCTGATTTTATTCAATACTATTTATTGTGAGAGGGTGAGTCCTAGGCATGAAGCGGACAAACGTTGATTTGGGAAGATTTTCTTCTTCTTTTTGCTTCTTTGATGTGAGGGTGAAGAGTCATCATAAGAAAGAGGGGGAAGAAACAGGAAGACCAGAGACAAAATACTAATACTTATGGAGCACTTACAACATGCTAGGCATGTGCCAAGAGTTTTTCAAGCACTATCTCATTTAATCCTTCCAATAGCCCTTTACACTAGAATTATCATCCCCATTTAGTAGATTGGGAAATGGAGGCACAGAGAAGCCAAGCTGCCCATCACAGAGATCATAGGTGAAGGACCTAGACCTTGAGCCAGGGCCAGTATAACTCCAGAGCCCATGCTCTTAACCACTATGCTTTGCTGCTTCTCTTAGAGCACTAGGAAGAAGTACAGGCCTGTCATTTGTTCAAGCACCTTCAGTAGCTCACTAGTGCTTTGAAAATGAAATTTAATTTACTTGGCTTGGTATTCAAGGTCTCTCACTGAGCTCAAAATTCCTTCCAGTTTGACTCCTCCCCCCGGGAATCAAGATCCTTGCACAACAGCCCCAGCGATTGACTCTTGACTTCTTACTATCCACTCCACTCCGCGCTGGCATCCCATCCGCCCATCGAAGCTCAGCTCACAGGCCTCTTCCCCAGGTAGACTCTCCTGATTCCCAGCCAGAAGGGGTCTGGCTCTCCCTGAAGTCCGGGAACACAATTTCAGCCTCCGCCCTCTGTGTTGTTTGTACCCCACCTCACCTCCGTGCTTAGCACACTGCTAGGAATGCAGAAATGCTCAAAACATCTTGGTTTAATGAGGGGACAGTAATTCTCAAATGGAGGCAGGGAGTGAGCAGAGCAGAAACAGAGTGGAAGAGAGGATGAAGACGGACTCTGGTGATGACAGAGGGACCTCAGTGAGGGACCGAGTCGTCCCCCCACCCCCGCCCAGGGACTGCCGCTGACAGTTCCTGGGTCGCGACTTCGGGGCAGGCGGCCCGGCGCACCAGGTGCAGCGCGAGCACGCTCTGGCGGTCACCCGCGTCCTGTCATTAGCATAAATCCATTAGCGGCGCCGGGCGCGGGCGGCGCGCGGGCGGATGCGTAGCGGCGGGGCACTGCGCTCTCCGGGGCAGCGAGGGCGGCGCGCCCCGGCACCCACGGGCCCTCCAAGGGTGCGTTCCAGCAGACAGACGCCCTTTGACAGCCATTACCTCGCGGGGACCTCAGAACCACTGGGCGAGTGGGGCTCATCAGACGCGGGAAATTAAATAACCAGGCCAAGATCTCTACTCTAAGTGGGAGAGCCAGGAATTGAACCCATCCTTTCGGGAAGGAGCTCTCCCGCTTTTCCCGTTACAAGTGCTGGCCCAGGATGCCTCCCTACCCGGAGAACTACAGTTTGGGAAGAAAGAGGGTTAAGGGCCACACTTAAACACACACACACTCTTTCCTATGCTTTCTTTTCACTGGTCTCAGGCAACAAGGAAGGGGGTTGTGTGGTATGGGAGGGGTGTGGTGGTGCCTTGGGGCAGAGATTGGGTGGTGGCCTGGAATGCTACCTCTATCCCATTGAACTCACCTCTGCTCCCTCAGATGGCTGTTTACTGGAGCTGCAAAAACAGGAGGATATAGCAGTAAATGGAAGGAGTACCATCTCTTGTTCTCTGCAAGTTTATCCTCTAGTAGGGAAGATAAGGAGTATTTATTGAGCACTTACTGTATGCCAGGAACTATGCTAAGTGTTTTACATGCATATCTCATTTATTCCTCTCAAACTCTGTGAAATAGGTATTACTATGGTTTCCACTTAGAGACAAGTGAGCAAATGCATACATGACTTGTGGAAGTCCATATAACTGGTAACTGGAAGAACCAGAAAGATGAAACGAATGAGGCATGTATGAAAGGGGAGGAACAGGGTAGTAGGGGAGCTTACAGCAAAGGCATGGCTCCAGGCCTCTGAGACCTTCCTGAGCAAAGCAGAACACATTTAAGCTGCTTAGAAGGTGAGTAGAATTTAGCCAAGGGAAGAGGCTGTGGGGGTGAGGGAGAGTAAGTGTAAATGCCAGAGGGTCAGGAAGGAAGCCTTGTTAAGGATTTTGGTCTTTATTGAGGAGGAAGTTGAAGTCCTTCATGGTTTTAAACAAGAGAGAGGCATGATTAGAATAGCCTCAGGGTGTAAAGAATGCAAGTAAGGGGTAACCAGTTTCATTGGCCTATTGGATTACTGAACTGGACCAGGGTGGTGATGGTCAGGAGAGAGGGGGAGACATACGAAAGATACTTAAGAGGTGCACTCAATGAGTGGGTAATTACGGGTGACAAGGAGGAGAAAGCTGAGTCATCTTACATCCCCATCTCTCCCTCATCCGTCAGTCCAGTCATTTAGTAAGTCTCTTTCATTTCTTGAAAATCTTTCCTATCTGTCCCGTCCTTCCCATCCTCACGGCCACTGGCCTAATTCAGCTTGAGTCCTTTCTCCCTAATGATATAAGAGTCTTTCTACCTTCAGATTTTTCCCTCTCTGGACAATCCTCCATGCAATCTGAGCGTATGACCTATGTAAAATGCAAACCTAATCACAGTCCAAGCCCCACTGTCTTGTCATTAAGTCTATTACAGAATAAAGTCCCGTCCCTTCTTAGGCTGGTCCTAACGTATTTTGCCAGGTTTTTCTTCCCCAGCTTAGGCCAAAGCTGCCCAAGAGGCATCACACCCCCCTGAAACCCAATTTTACCTGCATGTTGAGGTAACTTTTCCTTCACGGCCCTAAACCTCCATAAGTAATTTGCTTACAAGTTATTAAATATACACGTGACTCATTCCTGAGAGGTCACATGATCCATTGCCAGGAATTTGCCACCCCCTTCTATCTGGTAAATTCCTATTCAGTTTTTAAGTCCCAGCTCAGATATCAAGTCTCTGTAGACTTTTCTAACACTCCCACACCCCAGATAGGATTAATTGCTTCCTCATCTGTGCTTCTAAAGCACTTTACTCATGTTCTGTCCTCAAACTTATCTAATTGTATTATAGGTGTCTAAGGAGGCACAAGCTAATGCAATCAGTGAGTGCTCCTGAACTTGAGGCTTGTGGGAGGATTAAATGGATAATATATGTACAGTTAATATTTCCTTTCTTCATCTCTTTCCTAGTAACATTAATAACAAACTATATTACAATTTACAAAGTGTAATAGTATTACAAAGTATAATAGTATACCACACATTCATTTGATCTGGAAAAATAAACCTGTGAGATAAGAAGGGTACTTGTTCTGTTTTATAGCTGGAGGAAGTGAAGTACAGAAGAGTTAAAAAGTGATAATGCAGCTGGTTCAGTAGTATGGCTGCAACTCAAAATTGCTCCATTGGTATTTGCTTAGATGGAGTGAAGTTTTCTGGTCATAAAACCTGTGATGTTTCTATGATACCACATTGCTTCTTGCATGCGTTAGTATTGTTTTTAAATTGCAGGTAGCACTCATTATTGAGTAATAAATTCAACGACATAGGGACAACCAATATGGTGGGGAGGAGAGAATAGAAAAGTTGAGTACATTACATGTAGTATGGATAAGCAGGTTGTGTGCTACTTGGTTGTAAAATGTATTTTTCACTGTGGGTCTGAATGAAAAAATATGGAAGTCCCATGCTAGCACAGTGCCAAGTTCTAAATGAACATTTATTAAATGGAATTACAGTATTTTCATTTTGTATTCATTTTTGTTTTTCCAAACTGTCTCCTCCGTTTGTAGCTCCTGGATCATATCATTTTTATTTTTCCAATTCCTAGTAGAGCCCGTGTTAGGAATTTGACACACTTAATTAAATGTGCATCACATGAAAACCTGGAATGAATGCATCAATGAATGAAGACATCATATAGCTCACTACATATAGCTGCAAATGATTGCTCTTCTAACTCCTTCCGCAGTCCTTCCTGTTCAACAGCAAGATCTGACACTGGTCAGTTGGTAGTTTCCAAAAGGTTCATTTCCCTACCCTAGGGGGTACAGTGAGGCCAGGAATAATGTGCATTCAAGAAGAACCACTTGCTCTTAGTCAACATGGTATCCTGAACAGTTTCATGAAAGGGCTGCGGCAAAAAAAACAAAAACAAAAAACAAAAAAAAAACCCCTACCCCCGCCAACTATTGACCTTAGTCAAAATGGCTGCCTCCGGCGTCTCTAAAAGCTTGCGCATGCCCAGTCCTGCCCCCGCCCCCGTGACCCTGGTGCGTGCGATGCAGCGTAGAGGGACAGCGAGGGAGGAATAAATTTCTCTGTGATTGGTTGGTGCAGGATTTCAAACCCGAGCTGGAGGCGCGGAGCTGCTCTGCCGTTGGGTGAGGCGCGGAGGGAAGTGGAAACTGCTCAGGTGGGGCCAGGCCGACCCGGCGCAGGGGGCGCCCGGGGCTCCGAGAAGAAGTGCGTTTGGTGCTAGGTTTGTGGTAGGAGGGGGAGCGTGCGAGATGGTGAGCCGAGGCCACCGCGGGGGTCGAGGGGAAGGCCGACACCGGCAGCCTCTCCGCCCGGCCGTCGCCGGGCCAGGGCCGGGGCCGGGAGCAGCCTGATGGGAGGTGGCAGGATTGGGGGGCTTTCTTGGCGCTGTGTTTTGTGGAAAGCCGGCAGCGTCTTTTTGAGGTGGGGGCCTGAATAGGGCAGGATGCACCCCAAAGAAGTGGGTTTCACCTGAATACAGTTTGGGAGCGGGTGCTGTAATACCCCCATCATTTTTAGAGGAACAAAGTTTTTTCGATGGGAAGAGCCCCAGTGCTTGAAAGGCCGGCGGCTTGAAGTGGAGCCTCTGCCTTGTGGGCTGTGTTCGTCTATGTAGGCTGGCCTAGGCAATGACATCTTGCCCTTCCCATTCTAATTCTTAGCCTCAGTAGATAACTTTGGCGTACATTCTTCTTCACAGCATTTCATTCGTAGGCGGAGGGTGTGTAGAGGAACGTGGTGTGGGTAAGAAGATAAGGTCTCCACCTTTTTAAAGAAATGACATTATCTTTAATGTGTGGGGTGAGCTTTTCGGCTTTTCAGTTGTTGAGTGTTTAGAGAAGGCGCTTTTCCTGTAGCTTGATTGCTCAACAGGTGTTAAAGTGCAAAATGTAAGTACAAGACAATCTTACTTAGCTCTAAAGGAACTTGCAGTTCATTTGGGGTGATAGAACTTATAAAAAGATAACTGGTGAATCTAGTAGACCTTTACGCTGTTGAGAGCACTGTACACTCATACAGCCTGTTTAGAAAATATTTTGGCAGTATTTATCAAGAGCCATTAGAGGTTTTTACCCTCTGATATGGTAATCCCAGCCTTGGAAATCTTATCTAAGAAACAGGGCCACCAGCAGAAAAACACTATCCGCAGTGATGTTCATTCATTCGATGAATATTGATTATTTGCCAAGTGTCAGGCACTGTTATGGGCACCAGGGGGCTCAGCAGTGAACAAAACAGACAAAATCTCTGCTTTCTTGAAACTAACTATTGGGGAGTTAGACAATAATATATGTACCTATGTTAGCTGGAGCTAAGTACTTAGGAGCAAAGTAAGGCAGTGAAATGTTGGGGAAAGGCTGCAATTTAAAATAGGATGGTTAGGAAGGACCTCACTGAGAATAAATACCTGAAGGAGGTGAGGGAATGACCATGCAAGAGATTCCAGGGGGATATAACTGAAAAACTAGAAAGTACCTAAATGTCCGAAGATTAAAAATAGTTGTTAATCAACTTTTTGTAACTTAAATGAAAACATGATAGAAAAAGGCAAAATACAAAATTATACATAATCTGTGATTGCAGTTCTATGAAATGTGAGTGCATAATGGGCAAAGATTAGGTAAGAAAGTGCATGTAATTGTTTAGGGTGGTAAGGTTTTAGTTTCATTATTAAAAAACTTTAGTGTTTTGCTTTTTTTTTTTTTTTAACAAAATTAGCAATATGGAGCAGTATTTTATACCTGCAAATGAGTGTTGTGGACAATAGAGATAATTTCGGACTGAAATGGATAGGGAATGCTTTAGTAAATTGGTAAGACTTTTACTAGACTTTGAAGAATGGAAACACTTCAGAATGGGAAGAATTCACTGAAGGGGGAAAAATAAAGGACAACTTAGTATTTTGAACTGGTAGTAATTTTCAGAAAAATAATAACTGTTTCTTATTTAAATCTTCATTCATGTTGGACTGAGGACAGTCTGTTTACTCTTTCTGCAATTGATTTGCTCATAAGAAAATTTGGTTTCAAGATATTCCTTCTGCCTGCCAGTTTCATAGAGCCTTTTGATATGGTGAAGCAGAAGCTGGATATTTGGGAAAAAGAATTGCTCTGAAATGCTTTCATGTGAAGGAATCTTGTAACACTGAGACTGTCTTGGGGAATGATTTTCCTTGGCAGCAGAAAACTTATGTTGTTAATTTCTTGGGACTTTCCAGATTTAGTAATGTTTGTGAAATTGTTTTTTATTAAAACTCTTCCTGAAAAACTCAGACAACCTTCCATCACTTTGTCTTACAATATTTAACACCCGTGATGCATCTAAAACCTGATGTATAGGTCACTTGATGTTTGTAGGGGGAGGAAGAAGAGGATAGAGACTTCCCCAGGATACTCTGCAGTTAAGATCTGTAATAGTCGGTTATTCTGAAGGACGATCTCTATGTCTCGTGGCTGGGTGATTGAAATTAAATTGGGAACTCAAAGCAATCACGTCAAGCTGAGACTCTTTCCTGGTGATGTGAAATTGCTCCCTTAGGGATACTCACAGATTGGGAATCTGTAACATAGTGACTTCTCCACCTCGGGCTTTCTCATCAATAACAGCTGAGATTCTCTAGCACCTTTTCGTTTAAAGTGCTCCACAAACTGATTTTCTTGCTACACACAGGGATCATTTCAGCTTTCTCAAAAGGCATCTCCTCTGTAGTGAAAAGTGACAGCTGTTTTACAGCTGCAGAGCAGTGTACTGCAATATGACTTTGTTTCTGTTTCCTGTTACATTAATGTATCTGCTAGCTGTGGAGCTAAATAATAAAGGGGGTGAAATAAGGAAGTCTTCATATGGGGGAAAATGTGACCCAGCAGAAAAATTAAGACCATTCTCAGTGGACATTGAATAGGATGAGTAAATTTTAGGTTTTTGAGTTATAATTTGGCTGAGATCAGAGTTAGTACTGATGCAGAAAGATATTTTGTCATACTATAAATAATTCCTGAGTCACTTCTATTGAATATTAATAAAAATCCACAGCCCCCTGTCATATAAAGAGAAGAGAATTATATTTTTCTAGTACTGTTTTTGGATTACCTTAAGTAAACATATTTTAGAAGAAAAACTAACTCTTCTGAGATGCTGTAAGCCTCACTTAGAACCACTTGTTTAAGAGCCTAGACCTGGTCAAATTTTGTTGTCTCCTCCATTGTTGTTCGTCTGGGTTCCAGCCATGGTTTGGTAATCTCTGCTCTAGGGTGTAAGAAACAGCTCTCAGACCAAAATAAACACAAAAATTTCATACCCAGTATAATAATACCCTATAATTTAATAGTATGGTTCATTTATACATGATGAAACTTTTACCTACTTTAATTGATGGTATTGTGAGTTACATAGGGCAAGTTGTTATTATTCCAGTTTATAGATGAGTCAGAATTTACGTGACTTAACCAAGGTCTGAATAGAAAAACTAAAACTTTATCCAGGGCTTCTGTCCTCCAACACCCCCTTTTTAAGACTTTTTCTTTTTGTTTTCATCATTATTATACATCCATCAGGTAGAATGGACATTGTATTGACAATAAAATCATGGGTGGGTAGGTATGTCTGTGTGTGTTCTTTGATATAATTATCAGATACTTATTTTTAAATTGTGTGTGTAATACCGTAGTGCTAAATGTAAGGCTTCTCTCAAATTTGCAGTCTACCTGGGGCATAGGGGAGAAACGTGATAAAGATAATTGGAGTGCAAGATGTATGTGTCTGAGTGCCAGCTGAGCAAAGCAGTAGGGGAAAGGTCAGTTGAAGTTAGTGATGGCGACCTGCAAGTGATGAGGGGATGGGTATGCTATGCATAAGAGAAGAATCCACAGGTTTGTGATTATACTTGTATACAAGGTAGTAACTTACGGTAATTCTGAGGTTTGAAGCTGAATGACTGAGAGAATGATAAAAATAAAGAAAATAAAAATTGGGAGTCAGTAGGGTAGGGGGTAGAGGTAGATCAGTGGGTAGGGTAGTTGATATATATGAGGGGGTTGGATAGAGCAATGTCTCAAAATCAAGCCCAACACCCAGGCATCCCAAGCAAATTGAAGGGCTACAGGGTTGGAGTTCAGAGGAGACAAGGACGGGAGAGATAAGTGGGTGAGTTGTTTGTAGAGATGTAATGACTAAAGTGGGATAAGTTCTTCGAGAGGTTGGAGGATTGAACTTTAGGGAATAGCTGGTGTTGAGAGGGAAGTATAGAGAAAAATCTGTAATCAAACTATTTGTAAAACTCTAAATCTGGAGACTATAATGATCTGACAGGTATGGGTCACCTCTTTAAAATAGAGTACTGGGAGTTGAGTTAAATAGCTATCTCCTAGGTACCAGGCATCATGTTAGGAGAACAGTGTAGATTGAGGTAGTTGTATGAGATAACAGATACTGTGGTGAGGAGATGTCCCCAGGTAGGTTCTCTGTGTCCTTAGTCTTTTTAGAAATGAGGTTGTATTTTCAAGAGAATACCACCCCCAACCCTGCAACCCTCACCCCATGGGGTGGTATGCAGAGAGAACATGGGAAAAAAGAATAATGGACTAGAGGAATTTGAGAAGATGTGAGGATTTTTTTAAGGGGACAAGGATCAGGTTGTTGTATTGTCATTTAAGACATAAAATCCCTCTGAAAAAAATGTTTTTAAAATCACCAGTTTTTAATAGTGTAGTTGTGCTATGAAATCTTTTCAGCATTCTTGGACTAGGCCAAAAAAATTTCAGACTAAAGTTTTCCTATGTACGGAGCTGTCTTATATATATATAGTCAGATACACAGATGAGTGCTGATATGATAGACATCAATACCCCATATTAAAATTGATCAGGATCTTCCATTTTTACTGAGACCCAAAGGATATTATCATTTGAATAATCTACTGAGTTCCCTGCCCCTGCCCTGTAGCATTTGGATATATTTGCCTATTTTGTCATATTGTTAAATCCACGGGCATCTCCATGACTTCCAGATCTCTTCCTACCAGTTTTAATGCTATTCTTTTAGTTCTGTTCTTAGTTTAGAGAAAGATCTTTGTAATAAATTTGTTAGTCTGGTTGCTTAGCAGTTTGCTGTGATTATGTAGCGTGGAACAGACACATTGCCATTTCAAAATCTTGGTTTCCGGCCCTGATTCAGGTATATATTTCATCCATTCTTGGAATTGAAAGCTTTTTTGCTGTTAGAGCAATCATCATACAAGCCAAATGAATAATTCTGTAGCATTTAATAGAAAAATATCTTTATGTTTATATATTCCTTTGTCCTTTGTGGGGTTTTTCTTTCTTTTCTTTCTTGCCCTCATAGCTTATGGCACAATCTCCTAAAATTGTAAAATCACTAAACCTTCATAAAAGAGTTCTTAAAATTTTATTTAGATGCATGAAATAAGGAACTGGACTAGAATGTTGAAGGAGCGAGTAGGAGAAACATAAGAATTCTTTAATGGTATTTCTGATGACATTCAATTTTCAAATGAAATTTTATTTTTAAATTTCATTTCCTTGATAATTTTCATACCATACAGTTGATGTCTTCCTTTCTTGACTGTTAGATGAAGATCTTATTTCCTCAGTGTGTTGCCAGTTAAAGTCTGTTTGGAACAGAACTGCCTGTAATGACATCATTTTTAATGTAATATCAGCAGGTCTTTGGGGGGAAATAGGAAGCCTGAGATTCACTATACAGGACCCAGTAGCAAATGATTTTTCCTTTGCCCTTCTAACTGTGAAGGTGGTATATTGTCTCCTTGATGCCAGAATGTGGTACAACATAATCCTTTGCCTACTTAGTATAAATTTATTAGGCATAGTCCCTGCATGCAGTCCAGCAGAGAGCCCTGCATTACAGAAATAATTCTTGTGCTGCTGAGCTGGCGATTTCCCCACTTAATCACTTGTGTGACGTCATCTGTGCGGTTGGTAGGAAATGTGCTGACCCTGTCCTGCGTTTTAAAAGGCAGTTGCCAACAGGGTACTAGCTAAAAGATGAAATTAAAAAGAAACGTTTTAAGTTATGTTGAAGGTCTTCAAAGTCCAGAAGGATTAAAGTGGCAAAAGTGTATTGATCAATAGGCTTGACTAACAACCACATTTTGTAATTGGTCACCAACTAATCAACTGACATGGTTGTCCCTAATTGCTTTCCTCTCAGCTCCAGAGTGACTGTAGAATGAAGGAAAAGGAGTAGGCAGAAAGGGGGGTTATATTCAGAATTCTGAAATGCTTTTCTAATTTCCAAATGAATGTTAAACATTCCAACTCTGTTTTTATAATAAAGATTACACAAAACATCAATTGTTGGCTTAAGATTCTTATAATGGTAGCTACAAATGGAAGAGTCCAGATGTTAGCTGCTGATGGCTGTATTGAATTGCTACTGAATCTTTTATCTGAGAGAAGGCAGGACCCTTAATGTATATTTGATTTCTTGGCAGAAAGATGGATACTACGATGCTGAATTTGCGGAATCTGTTTGAGCAGCTTGTACGCCGGGTGGAGATTCTCAGTGAAGGAAATGAACTCCGTAAGTCATTTTGAGCTGGCCTATGTGAAGAGAAAAAAAACTGACTTCACTTTTGCATTTTATTTAAATCTGGAGTGTGATCTTATCTTAAAAGTTGTTTTTTATTTGCATCCCCTGAAGAGAAAGTGATGGACACTTATCCACAGTCAAGGCTTAATGGGCACTCATTCTAAATGGTCACTTTTTTTCTGTAGTTACTCTTAAATGGTTTTTACCCAGACTTTTTCATTATCAAGGTTCTCTTTCCCTTGAGTAGTTGGCCTTAGTTCAGTTTCATTTTTGTATCACTAACTGGGCAAAAGCTACTGAATTTCCAAAGATGTTGCTTTCTTCTTTAGTGGCTGTCTGCATTTTTATTCTGTGCTTTCCCTGTGTTCTGTAACTTTTTCAGTTGAAGAGGAGAAAAATGTGTAATTTATTTTTGAAGGAGGGACTGTTCATCTGTTTTTACCTACTTTATGTATTTGATGCTTAGTAATGAAGGGCTGAAATTGGGTAGAGAACTGGGGAAAAAAGGAGGTGATGATACAATAGTTGTCTAGGACGTAAATTCTTGAGAAAGGAAGGTGGGGCTGATAGCACTGATATCAGCCGTCCCTGGAATTTATTCTTTACCAGCTTTTCTTTGTGTTGCCATCCTCTCCTATATCAGATATCAGATTTTCATTAATACCTAATTTAGTAAGTGTTGCTCTTAAGTCAGCCTCATTGGCATAAAAGTAATTAGGAACTATGTTTTAAACTTTAAGAAAATATGCACAGTACTTGGTATGGTGTCTTGCTTATGTCATTCACTATTTTCTTTAATTTAATGTTTTTAATAGCTTACCCACTTGCAGGCCTTTCAAAACAATATTCTGTTGTCTCTCTCTAGTAGCTGTTGCGTGACCCTGTCATCTGGGACCAGCTCAGTAACCATAATGGCATACTAATTAGGCTTCTTTTTGAGGTCACATCATCTCAGAAGATGGATTACTTTGGAGTCTAGTGGGAAAGAGTATTGAATAAGAGAGCTTAAAATTCAGGTTCATTTAGCAAATATCTAGTGAGAACCTATCAGTTTGTTGCACATTCAGAGAACAGGGAAAGAGATGATTAAATGGGTTCAAGGAGAAAAGTAGGGTTTGAGTTGAGCCTTAGATGTAAGGTAGGATCCCAACAGGCATTGCTGAAAGAGGGCATTTAGGGTGAAAGAACAACCTGAGTAGAGGCAAGAGGGTGGGGACTGGAGAATAGGACTAAGGGGGAGTGGCATGTGCAGAGCTTGCATTTGGAAGGTTACCCTGGCAGAGGTGGAGACTGGGAGACTGAGTGGGGCATGGTTGCCATAGCTCAGGGGGGAGGCACTAGGGGTCCTAACTAAAATGGTGGTTGTGAAGATGAAAATACCGGGAAATGGGTGGAAGAGAGAGTGGTGATAAGATCTCCGGGAAGGAGGCACCTGATAGGCTGTGGGGGCAGGAAGAGGCTTCTAGCTGTTACTTCTGTGTCTGTTTCTCCATCTGTATAATAGGACTCTAAGTGTCTTCTTTGTGGGAGTGCTGTGAGGATTTGGGGATAAAACAAGATACTAGTTATGAAAATACTTTGGAAGTGATTATGCCAAAAAAACCCCAAGATTTTAATTTTTACAGGTACCCTGATTTTATAAGCAAATTTCTGTCTTCCCATTGGTTTCTGTTATAAAATAGAGGTGTGTTTTGCCTCCCTCTTCAAGTCTCTATCTTGGAACGTTGGCTTTTGAGGAATTAAAGTGGCTCAGTATTTTCCAGACTCTAGAATCTCCTTTCTGCAACCACCCCAGTGTCTGTCCTTTTCTTTGGTCTTGGGAATTCCTCCTATGCCTGAGTATCCTGACTCCTTAGTCGTGCCTTTCATCATCATAACTTCATTCCTTTTTCTCTTTTTTGTATAGTTTATTTTTAAGCTAAGTCCGAGTACTGAAAGATCAGAGTGAAGGTCAATATTCAAATAAAATGACTTTAATAGCTTAGGTATTTTATCTTTGTTTTCCATCTACATGGTTTTTATCTTCTGTTTTTATTTATCATGAACTGCCTGAACTTTTTTGACGTTGGTTGTATAAATTAGGAATGAATGTAACTTAATATTTCAGGTGACTGTTGTACACCAACACCGTAATAGGCTTGTGCTCTGCTATGTACAGTAGGTGATACCAAAGTGTGTCTAATAATGGTGCCTTCAAGATTATGGTATTTAAATTTGAGACAGGATTCTTTCTCATGAAACCAAAAGATATTACAAATGTCAAAATATGTACTTAGCAGAAGTATAGACAAATTTAATGTGGAGCAAATAGGTTAGGAAAGGATCCATAGAGCAGATGAGACCAGAAAATGGTACATAAAGAAGAGTAGGTAGGGCATGCCATTGGAGTACATAGCTTGATCACAAGCGAAAAGGCAGAAATGAGCATGGGGGTCTTCTGGGAGTAGGGACGAACTGGTTTAGGCAGAAAGAAGGCTTGCATAGTGGTGGGAGGTAAGTTTGATTAGACTTGAAAGCTGGGCTTAGATGCCTGGAGTTTAATTTGATCTGAACAGCAATTCTTCATTTGTTCAATGAATATTTAAGGGCCTGTTATGTGCTAGGCAGAGTACAAAGCACTGGAGATAAAAGAGCAAAAGAGACAGGGTTCTTGCCCTTAAGAAACTTAGAGGATAGTGGGGAAGACAAAGGGAAGAGCCTGTGCAAAGGCCCCAGGGGGAGTGAACTGAGAAAACAAGATTTCTGGAACTACTTTAATCTGTTTGCTGCACTATGGACCAAATCCTCTATTATTTTTTTTTTAATGATTCAAAGATTATCAATTTGTTTTAAGGACATTTCCCTTCTCCTTTCTCTATCTTGATGTATTTTATAAGTTAATATACACATAATTTTTTAAAGGGAATAATCTGATTTTAATAAATTTTTTGAATGTGTACTTAATGACAGGGACTAGTACCAAGTCAAATTGTGAGTCACAAACTGACCAAAAAATGCCATGTTTATTGATCTCCAGTATCAAGGTTTTTCCTGTCTGTAGTCTAAAGTGACTTTTTGACACATCCTAGCAAACTTACTTCATAACAGAATCGTACATAACAGTAATATCTTAGGTATAGAAATGTTCTGGGTTTGGTCTACCATAAACTAAGCTGAACTAGTAATTTAATAATTTGTGCTTTTAAAATAGGAACTTCTTCCTTGAAATGAGCTGATACTTTATTTGCTTTGAATTCCATTGTCCAAACAGTTAGATCTATAATATATGCCAATTAATAATGAAAAAGCGTTAAAGCCCAAATTTAATAAGACTTCTTAAGGAATGTTCTAAGAACAAACAAACCAGCAAAATTAGGTCAAATGGAAATCTTTTCATTCTCAAACTGTTTTTGAATTCAGTAATTGGAGTGTGTATACAGCACTATATTTAGAAACATTTAATTGACCACAATGAGGAGCTAGAAAGTTTTTAGACTGTGTAGTTGAAAAGTGTTTCTTATTCTTTATTTTTTGAAACTGAAGTATTACATACATCAGAAAAGTATACACATTATAAGTGTACTACTTGATGAATTGCCAGAGTAAACATGGCTAAGAACCAGATTTTGTTTTTCAGTTTTTTAATTGTGAATCCATAATAGTTAAATTTGCAGGAGGACACATTATTTTCTTTTTCTTTAAATAAAGGGGAAAAAAAGCTTAGTAATGTCTTTCAAACTGCTAACTAAACCAGCTTATTATTTAAAACCATTTGAATTGCAATAATACCTTCTGTTTTTTTGGATCCTTGATATTTACATTGTCTAAGATAACTAGGTCATAATATCTTGATTGGCTGAAACCTGTTGTTTGCTAAAAACTGGTTTCCTTATGTGTAAGACATGGTTTCTCTATATCAAATTGGTATCCTAATCTGTAAATTTGAAATTTAATCAAATTACTAAAGCTGCTTGGAAAGGGCATTGTTTCTATGCTCTTAGGTTCAATTCAGATAGGAAAAGTGATCTTACGGATCTACCAGCTTTCTCTGAATTTGGCCTACTTTTCCACTGTAAACTGGGTTAGTTTGACCAGCAGCACATGTACACCTGGAAACTTCGTCCATGATACTGTTGGGAGAGTGATGCTTAGAGATAGATTGAGGTTACGTAGAAAATAGTAATGCATTATAGAAGAACCGTCTTTTCCAATAACAGGTGGTAAGAATGAATGCCACCAGGGTTATCATGCCTTGGAAGTGATGCCCTCTTTGCAGACATTTGAAGAGTTCACATTACATTATAAGTGTGTCCCCCCAAACTAGTACAATTTTCTCTTCCTGTGTCTTTCCAACTGGAATGTTTACATACCCTTCAGGGCAGTGTTAAACAGCAAAAGCAAATTGGCTCTTTACTTTCAAATCAATATTTGTATAGTTACATAACTGAATGGAATTGCAGGCCTAGACATTTATAATATTAATCTACATCTACTGGAGCATATTACAGCAGTTACATTTGAGTTTGCTGTTTGACATCTCTCTGGCATAGCAATGCATGACTGTAAAGGAGGCTGTTTTTGTTTTATAGCTGTAACTGTCCTGGTGCGTGACAGCTGCCCCACAGGTATTCCCCTTTGATTGCCGTCTGTTCAGGACCTTTCAGTTTTGGTATTACATCTGGAGCCAGCCAGGTGACTAATGAGTTACTGTATTCCACAGTCGATGTCACTGGCTAAGCCAAAGTAAGTGGCCTATTGGAAAAGGAATTGCTCCCCACAAAGCTCATCTAGGGTGGTGAACATATATCCAGGATCTGTTCCTGGTTATTTTCAGGTGGATTTGCCCATGTTTAGCTGGTCCCTTAATTATGTATTTGGAGGAAAACTAACAGGAGGATGCATTTTTTAGTGCCTTTATACTCTGTTTGGTGCTTGCATTTATTAAAGTTCCACCCTTTCCTTAGAGTTCATCCAGTTAGCAAAGGACTTTGAGGATTTCCGAAAAAGGTGGCAGAGAACAGACCACGAGCTGGGGAAATACAAGGATCTCTTGATGAAAGCAGAAACTGAGCGTAGTGCTCTGGATGTTAAGCTGAAGCATGCCCGCAATCAAGTGGATGTAGAGATCAAACGGAGACAGCGAGCTGAGGCTGACTGCGAAAAGCTGGTGTGTATTGTTTTCTGTGCTAGAATCATGCCAGCGGGGCAGGTGGAAGCTTCATCTGATAATGTCCGCACTTGCCAGATATACCCAGTTTCTTCCACACTAAAGAACAAAAAGCAACCTGTCCATTGTCTGTTATTGGAGCTGAAATTGCAGTGTAGGAATCCTGTTATTTAAAATTTTTCTCCTTTAGACTTGAAACTATCAGCAGATTTCAAATGAGAATTTAGAGAATTAAAATTATCAGGAAAGTCAGGCAAATCCAAGTATACTTGATCTGTCACAAGATACAGTCTAATCTGCCATGCTACCCAGAATATCCTCATCCTTACATCAATAGCTAGTACTTTGTCATTGATACAGGCAGACAGCTCTAAGTATTTCCTTCATCACTGCTCCTAATTCAGGGTAAAGGGGCTAGATGTATTGAACCAGTTGAGCAATGTGACAAAGAACCTATCATTTTGATGTACCAGGGTGGGTCATGGTACAAAGGAAAGCCTTTACTAGGAGGCACTCATCTATCTTGGTATAGTGTTAGATGCCTCAGTAAGCTCAAATTGTCTGGTTCCAGTGTGTCACAGCTTTGTGTATCCATTTTAATACATTTTGCTTCACCATTTAGAAAGGTGGGGGCTGCTTTGATCCATAGAAGCCAATAATTGTTCCAATAAAATGACACTAAAGTGTTTTTGCTACATAGAGTCTATTTTGGGATTCTCATTTTGCAATACTCTCCTCTTGGCTTAACAGTTTGTAAGCAGTCTTGTAGCAGAAAGCCCACTATTCTAGAAGGAGTTCATTTTACCAGTCAGAAATCACAGACACAATCTGGGCCTGACGTGAATTAATATGCTGTTGGTGTAGCAGCCTTTCTGAAGGCTCATTTGCATAATGCTGTATTTTAATGTATTCTGGTCTGCCCAGCCCATAAATTTGAGGTGAAGCTTTCTCTCCTGGTTAGTTAGGATGTTTTACTCTGCTTTGGTCTGTAGGAAAGACAGATTCAGCTGATACGAGAGATGCTCATGTGTGACACATCTGGCAGCATTCAACTAAGTGAGGAGCAAAAATCAGCTCTGGCTTTTCTCAACAGAGGCCAACCACCCAGCAGCAATGCTGGAAACAAAAGGTGGGGGAACTGCATCTGTTGTTATCGGACCACAGGCAGCACAGCTGTCAGAAGTTCCTGTTATCTGAACTCTTAAATATACTGCTGCTGGAATGGGTGCTGAATAAAGCAGAAAGCAACTTTGAAGGAAGGGCGGGTGGGAAATAAAGGCACAGGTCCTCCCTTTTTCTTTTGTTTTGTTTTTTCTTTTTTATCTTTCCTTAGGATGTTGTTTCACCATGGGTAAAATTTTGATGTTGGCGCTAAATTGCACATCAGTTACTAATCCTGCACACTGCTGAGAAACCTAAGAGTGAAAGTGGCAGTTCAGCAGTGCTCTCAGTGTTTACTCTCTAGAGAGCTCTTGTGGCTCCTCTGGTTTAGAAAAGCCTTCTGTGAGCCAAGGCCAGATGATAATTTTGGTTCCACAGCATCACTGTTTAAAATAGTCTCAACCTGGCTTTGAATTGAACACCTCCAATATAATACATAGAGGAAGGTCAGCACTCTTACAACTATTTATTTTGTTGCCTGGTTGTTTTATGGGGAATCTTTATAACTAAGAAGATGTATGGGCTTAATTTCTTAAAAAGCTAATGCTGGGTAATACTCTCTTTGTAGAAAGCAACCACAATTGGGATCAAATTAAACTTCCCTCTACTGCCTTGTGAATTTTTAGTAGCCTGTAATACAAACTAGCCTGTAATACAAAGTCAGCAGGAAAGAGCATCCATACCCCTGACTGTAACTTCCAACTACTGGTTTAAGGCTTTTGCTGCAAAAGCAGCTGTGCTGCACGTGTACATGTGTGTGCATGTACATGCACGTACACACATGCTTGCACATATTCTCCCATGAAAAACATAAAAAGTAACCTAGCATAGCTGGGGTTTGAACTTGCAGTTGTCTTCGTAGGGAAGGGTTGCTGGGAAATTGCTTATGTTACCTGACCAATGTGTTTTGTTCTGGGTGTTGACGGATTTTACTTTCCACAGTCTTCTGTGTCTAACACTGTGTTGTTTTACTCATATAGACTGTCAACTATTGATGAATCTGGTTCCATTTTATCAGATATCAGCTTTGACAAGACTGATGAATCTCTGGTAATGAACATTTGATCTCTGATAAGTACTTATTTTTCCTATGCATGTTCCCTCAGGAATCTCTGTCATCTCTTCTGGAATTCCTTTAGTATTATTTTATTAATTGATGTTTTTAAAATGATAAATTAACAGACTGGCTTATGTATTTGTTTAGTTTCTGGAAGTGAGAGTATAGACTTCAGAATTTGGCCTGATGTTAAATTTATTTAATGGATCTGTGAGCTGTGTGTACTAATTGGTTATATCTTGGCTTATTAAAGCCTCAGCTAGCAATAAAAAATTTAGCCAGGCTCTATCCAGGCAAGGTTTATTTGCTGCTCCTAGGGGAGAATAGACTTGTGCCTTATTTCTGAATTAGTTTGGTTCTTGAGTAGAACTTAGTCATACTTCACAATTAGAAGGAAACCAGTGCCCTAGATCTCCAGCCAGAAGACTGATGAATGTTTCTAGGTACTATGAATGCTTTGATCAGCAATGGTTAACGTGTCTAAATTCTTTGTTACCCTGCTTTTGCAGGGAAACACCCTTCTCTTGTGTTTCTGCATAAAAGGACATCTCCTGATATCTCAGTCTTTGATGTTCAGGAGATTGGTAGTTTATTGATTTTTGTTATCTTTTCTGTTTTACTGGCTAAAAGCTAGCAAACAGTGAAATCAGGAGATTATTGGTGGTTGGTTTTCTGATGATAGCAAAATAAGTGACAACTACCCATTACATAGGCTAAGAGTTTTCTGTCCAAACTAAGTGTTTAGGGAGATAATTGCCATTTTATAGATGTGAATATTAGGTAATCACATTTTTAAAATAAGGAATGATATAGAATAGGTTGGGATATATAATAAAACTAGAACATATTATTAGCTGATTTTGGAGCTAAATCTGTGATACGGTATCTGTTGTAACTAAAACTGAATCAAACAACCAGTAGCTACATTACTTGACCATGAATTAGAGAGGCTAAAATTTTTTAACTAAGCTACTATTGCTCTGTACAACTCTTTCTGGATTTTGTGTTTTCGGGGATTATCAGGAGTAAGGAAGTCACAGGTGGCTACAAAAATGAATACAAATGATGTAAAGTGAAGTAAAACTAGACCACAGTATAAGACAAATAATTCTTCAGTGGTGAATGTCTTTTTTTAGGGCCCAAGGAAGAGGGATGATTGAGAGACAAACCTAAACTAGAACTTTTAAAGTGGCTATATTGTATAGAACATCTGAGGAGTCGATAGCAATCCCTTAAGAGCAAGAATCACATCGAACACGATCAGTGTGGTGCCAAACATTCTGTAAAATCTAAAACTAATTACAAAAATAATCAAAAATAAAGAACCAGGCACTGGAAATAATCACAACAGCAGTTGATTCTTTAACCTTTTCTTGCCTCTGTGGTATTGATTCCTGATTCTATTATAATAGCTTCAATTTTGGAAAGAAAGCATGTCAACTTACTGTAGTTCTATAGCTACAACACTTAAGACCCTCTCTTCCCCCTCTTCCTGCATGTAAGTTAGGTAGTCTGGCTCACAAAGCCTTTAAAGTTCTCTGTCAATTTATTTGCACAGGGTTTAGGGGAGGCCTAACCACAGAAATAAACTAATACAGTGTCATTGTCAACAGGATTGGGATTCTTCTTTGGTAAAGACTTTCAAACTGAAGAAGAGAGAAAAGAGGGTATGTATTGGTTTGTTTAGTCTTTTTTACAAAGTAACAAAAATTTTCTCCAGAAATTTTGCCATGATGCTGCAATTCTGACATGTCTCTCTAGCCTTTGTTAACCACATACTACATATGATACTGATGTTCTTTGAAGTAGTAACTCTGGACAGAATCCTGTCCTATTTCACTGTCTGGGCTGCCCTCGGTTCATTGAGTGGAAGGGATGTACGTAAGTATGTTTTCAGTTGTCATAAGAATGCAGGACTTTAACACAATTTTCAAATGAAATGTGTATATAATGGGATATACATAGATCTATTGTATGTACTTGTTTAGGGTACTTAATATGTTTCCAAAGACTTCATGTCCTGAGATGGGATTACAGTCCTACTTTTTCTGGTGCTGTCATCTAAATTTTTTCAAAGCTTGCTCATTTCTTCTAGGGCACTGAGGGCATTTTGTGTTGGTATAACTTCAGCTTTATAGGAAACAGGCAATGAGAGAGAGGACATTGTTATTTACTTTAGCTCTGGTACCTAGGACTTGTATCCAAGTTGTCTAGTGGAATCATTTTATCTTCTGTGCTTCAGATCTTCTATTTGGCACTAAAATTATTGGTCTCTGCCCCATCTCTAGCGTTCTAGTAGCCGACAGTTTGTTGACGGTCCCCCTGGACCTATAAAGAAGAATCGTTCCATTGGTTCCACAGTAGAGCAGGTAAGAATGGTCAGGCCAAGAGCATTGTGTCTTGAACACATCAGAAATTAGGGGCCCCAAGCATTAAAAACCCTGAGTCAACCTTGCATAATGATAACCCTTTTACTTTGATAGAGCTGTTTGGTGAGAGTTTTTCTATGTAATAGGATCCTTAGCATCCATTTGAATGAAATTACTCTGATTAAGTAAACAGCTGTTAGCTTATGTTTGATTCTTAGTTGCTTGTATATATGCCCCCATGACCTATATTTCTGTTCTGAATTATGAGATTTCAACTTAAGAGTGTTTTGAACTGGAGCCTTCAATCCTGACAGACCAGGGACTTTTTCAGCCACTTCAAAGCACCCTGTAGCAGAAGGGAAATTAGATTCAAATGCTTGTCCTTCCCTCATGATTACATGTGTTTCAGGGGAATGAATCCATAGTTGCAAAAACTACAGTGACTGTTCCCAACGATGGCGGGCCCATCGAAGCCATGTCCACCATTGAGACAGTGCCATACTGGACCAGAAGCCGGAGGAAGACAGGTCTGCTGCATTTGTGGCTAAATTGCCTATGTTAAACAACTGGTAAAATCTGGGGAGAATTGGTTCCTTAGACCCTTGCTGAGGCTGGGATTGGATGTTTTGGGTAGTTTTCTTCCTGCTGCTTACTTGGGCTGGAGCACTTGTCATGCTCTACTTTTGGCTGGCTGGCTAGCCTGGCCAATGCCCTGCCGTATACATACTTGTAATTCTTGAAAAGGTTTTTTTGCACAGCCATTATATTCACTTCTCATAATGGTTACACGTTACTGTTTATCTATCAAATATACCAAAATTGGGGTCAATTGAGGAGGAACAAAATACTTAAAACACAAAGCTGAAAGTTGGTTGTTTTCTAGGTGCTTTACAACCCTGGAACAGTGACTCCACCTTGAGCAGCAAGCAGCTGGAGCCAAGAAGTGAAACAGACAATCCCAGCACTCCACAGAGTAACGGAGGGATGCGCCTGCATGACTTTGTCTCTAAGACGGTATGTAAACCTGCGATTGCTCCTTCTTTGGGGCGCATTTAATATTTTAAGTGTGAAAGTTATATATACCAGATACACATTTAAGTATCTTATGTTATAAAGTTAAATGTTGAATTTTCTTTATCTTTCCAATCCCACTCTCTAGCGGTAACTACTGGTTACAGTTGTTTATCTTTACATTCTATGAGAGTGAATTAAAAGAAAGCAGTTTTCAGAAGCAGTTGTTTGTGCTTTCTAGTGATACATATTAACATTTTATGCTTAAATATAGCACGTTTTAACTTCATCGCATTTGATTTCTTCATAAAAACCCAAGCAAATTGACTGAGGCTCAGGAGTCAACTGGCGTGTTTGAGCCACATGAAAATAAGTGGCAGAGTTAACATGGTGTTCTGACTCCTTGTCCACAAGTTCTTTCCATTACTGAGCCCTGCTCCCCTCAGGTGGATGACCACACCCAAGTTACTTAACCTCTTTCTGCTGCTGTTTCCTTATCTTAAAATGAAGAAAAAAAAAAGAATCCTATTTGTAGGATTATTTTGAGAACTACACAAGTAAATATTCATAAATTAGAAAGTTGTTTGGCACGTACTTAATCCGTGTTAGTTGATGTTGACGACGCTCTTCTAATTCAGTCCACTCTGTGTCATCCTCAGGTTATTAAACCCGAATCTTGTGTTCCATGTGGAAAGCGGATAAAATTTGGCAAGCTGTCTCTGAAGTGTCGAGACTGTCGTGTGGTCTCTCATCCAGAGTGTCGGGACCGCTGCCCCCTTCCCTGCATTCCTACCCTGATAGGAACACCTGTCAAGATCGGAGAGGTATGACCTGTGGGAGCCAGCAGTGTATTAGGCTTCTTTAGCTTTTTTCAAAGCTTAACATCAGGTTTTGTTCCAAAATTAATGATGCCAAGTACATTTCCTTCCATGAAGAATGAATAGAAATTATAAAATATTAACTTGCAACAGAGTCCTGTTTGGGTTTCTCTGTTTAGTAAACATTCCAAACCAAACTCTCTCCTTTCTTTTCCCTCCCCTCCTTCTCTTCTCCTTTCTCTCTCCCTTCCCTCTTTCCTCCTACCCCTCCTTCTCTTCTGTTCCTTTCCTTTTCTTCCTTTCTTTCCCCTCCCCATCCTATCTTATTGGGAAATTTCAAACATATGGCAGTAGAGAGATTAGGATAACTAATCCTTGGTTCCTATCACTCAACTTCCATGAATACTGATTCATGTCCAATCTTGATTTATTAATACTGGGGTCTCTTCCTCCCAGCCCTGTACAGTGAATGTTTTGAAGCAAGTCCCACTCATCAAATAATTTGATCTGTGAACATTCTTTCTCTTAAGTTAGAGATAGTCCATTACTAGGCTATTAAGATTAGATTGCTCATTTCTAAAAATTTAGTCAATCCATTAAGAAATTTATTGTACGAGCAACATAGCAAGAATCAAAACAAAATGACTATGCTGCTACCCAACCCCCAGCAAATCAAATGTTACTTTTCTTTAAAAGAGTTCTTATCCATGCAGGCAATTTTTTACAAATTTTCTGTACTCTAATATAGAACCATGGGATTCTTCCCTACAGGTAGGTTTGTGTCACCTGTGAGTTGTGTTAAATAATTTTTCTTACTAAGAATTAAGTGTAATTAATATTTAAATGTAAAAAAGATTTTCTTCTTTAGAGCAATACAAGTCATTATTGCTCGCTCTCTGATGCCCTTGAGTAGAAGAGAAGCAGAGGCGGAGTTGTAGCTAGTGGTCTTATTTACTTGTTCTTGCAAGAATATGTGACCATAAATCAGTCCTGGTATGGAGGGGGGAAAGTAATTGAGAGTCTCTGTTCTAATATATGCTTGGGGAATAAGAATTTGAAAATAGACATGATGTCCCAGCGTGAGTATTTGTCTGGAGATGGTTCTTCCCACTGGTCTTCCTCTGCTTATCTAAGTGGTAGAAATAATAATTTAAAATTCTCCCTTTTCAGGGAATGCTGGCAGATTATGTGTCCCAGACTTCCCCAATGATCCCCTCCATTGTTGTCCACTGTGTAAATGAGATTGAGCAGAGAGGGCTGACTGAGGTAAGAGTCAACCTGGGGGAGGGTGAATTTGTTATGTGTTAATAATTAGGAGGTTCTTAACTGAAAGTGTCATCTTGATAACAGACAGGCCTGTATCGGATCTCAGGCTGTGACCGGACAGTAAAAGAGCTAAAAGAGAAATTCCTCAGAGTGAAATCTGTGCCCCTCCTCAGCAAAGTGGATGACATCCATGCTGTCTGTAGCCTCCTGAAAGACTTCCTTCGAAACCTCAAAGAACCCCTTCTGACCTTCCGGCTAAACAAAACCTTTATGGAAGCAGCAGGTAAGGGCTGATCTCAGTGGCTGACTTGAGGCCGGCAGGGCAGGAACTCTTGACTGTCTGTGTGCTGTTTACAGTACGGTGCCTGAAATGGTGGGTGCTCAAGTACTTTGATGGATGACTAGCTGTAGCCGTGTTCCCCACGCCTGCCTGTCCTCTGACCAGCAGGACACCAACAGGCTTTTTGTTGTTGCTTCCTGTTGTTTTTGATCAAGTTTCAGGTTGTCCTTTTGAACTTGGAGCCATCTTTGATTCGTTTTCCTCACACCCCATACTTAATCCACTGGCAAATCTGGTCAGCAGAGGTCTAGTAAAATGTGCCTTAAATTGGAAATTTGTCACTCCTTCTACGAATACTCTTGACATCTCTCATCCGACAGTGATTAAGAACCCACTGGTTTTCCTGTTTCTGCTCTTGCCCTATAGAGAATGTTTCTTGCACAGTAGCTAACATGGTCCTTTTTAAACTTCAATTCGGTGATGCCCCTTCTGTTCTCAACATTCACCAGGGAGTTCCTGTCACTCGGGATAAAACCTGTAGCCCTTCACATGGCCCAAAGATCCTACAAGATTTGGCTCATCACTGACTGGAATGATATTTGCAGGATTTGCTCCTTTATTTCTTTCAGGGGTTTTTTTTCCTTTTTTTTTTTTTTTTTTTTTAATATCTTAACCCTCAGAACTCCTTTCCTAATGACATTTTCTAAAATAACATCCCCCATTACTTTCTAGTTTCTTGCCTGCCTCATTTTATTATATCTATCACTACCTAAGAGATACTTGCTTTTTTGATTAACTCTCCCAAAAAATGTACGTTCCATGAGGCAAGGTCTTTGTTCAATTCCGCTTTATCCTGAGCGTATAGAACACTACCTGGTACATAGTAGGCCCTTAAACATGTTTTATAAATGAACACCTTCTTGATAATTGTATTCACTGCAGTTGTATGTCTGCCTTCCTAGCAACATGGCTTTCCAGCTGCTTTCTCTAACTGCAAGAGCTGGTTTCTTAAAGGCTCTGATTTCTAATATTGAACTGTTGGCCAGTATCCTGCTTCATAATGAAACTAGAGTCTGATGTAGTCATGAACCTAAATCAGAAGTTTCAGAAGCTTATTGTATAGATGAGACTTTGTAGTCAATATCTTGGAAGCCCACCGTGAAGGAGAAGAAGTCTAGGCCTCTTGGTGCTTTCTTTTCATGTACAGAAATCGCAGATGAGGACAACAGCATAGCTGCCATGTACCAGGCTGTTGGTGAACTGCCCCAGGCCAACAGAGACACATTAGCTTTCCTCATGATTCATCTGCAGAGGTGGGTACAGCAGAAACTTGTTTCTGGGAGTTAGGGAATTTTCCAAGTGGAAGATGCGTGTTGCATGTTAGGGAGGGAATGTGAGGGATGAATTATTTTCTGAAAGATCGTGCATGTTGGTCTTCATTGAAGTGGAGGAACAAGTCTTCTAATCGAATGCTCTTTTGCTTAGAGTGGCTCAGAGCCCAAGCACCAAAATGGACATTGCCAATCTGGCTAAAGTCTTTGGTCCTACAATAGTTGCCCATGCTGTGCCCAATCCAGATCCAATGATAATGTTACAAGACATCAGACGTCAGCCCAAGGTAGGCAGAGGTGTGTGTGTGTGTGTGTGTGCATTTATATATATATATATGAATTTGTCTAACATGAGAATGATGAGGAGTGGGCCCTGAGCCTTTGGAAGTTTGCTAACACGTCTCGTGGCTGGTAGGTAGTGGAACGCCTGCTCTCACTGCCCCTGGAATACTGGAGTCAGTTCATGATGGTGGAACAAGAGAACATTGACCCCATGCATGTCATTGAAAACTCAAATGCCTTTTCTACGCCACAGACACCAGATATTAAAGGTAAGCCCTAGGTTATGCTTAAAGGGCCTGACTCCCTCTCTAGTTTGGGTTATGTGCCCTCTCCTGCCTTGCTAGAGCTATTTGAGATTCATATTCTTCAGTACATATTAAACTCCTTTGGAGAACTCTTAAAGGAAAATTTGTATGGTTCTACCATTCTAATATCTTTTTCTACTTTTCCACATTCTCTTTCTTTACCCATAAGGATATTTTTAAAATATAATTTGTTCTTATTTCACTTAGCTTATTGTGAGAACTTTTTCTGTTACTATGTGATCTTATTTATCATTTTTATGGTCAGAAAATGTAATTTACTTAAATGTTCTATTAAGTATTTATTTTTTTGCTTTTATTGAAGTATCGTATGCAATCTTATGTTGGTTTCAAATGTACAACACAGTGGTTCAACAGTTACCCATATTATTAAATCCTTATCCCCTCTAGTGCGGTTACTATTATCAACATAGAAAGATGTTACAGAATCACTGAAATGTTCTATTAAGTCTTAATGTTATTTTCAGTTTTTCGTAATTATAAATAATGCTGCCATCAACATTATGTATGTAATATCTTTCTTTCCTCTAATGATGAATTCCCAGGATGGGAATTTATATAAATTAAATCAAAGGGCTTGAACACTTTTGTTTCTTGATGTATTACACCAAAAAGCTTTCACCAATTGGTATTGCCACCAAAAATGTATGAGCTGGTTTCATTCAGTGGCATTAAAGACCTATTCTTTCATTATTGAAAGTTACTTTTTAAGGGAGCATATTGTTTTTTTCTAGTGTAGGTGTAAATCAAATAGATGTTAGATTTGTGAAGTTTGGGGTTTGCGAATGGCCTAAATCAAGAAGTGAATGTCAACTGTTGATTGAGCAGTTGCCTGCATAATTCAAAAGAAATACTGGTGTGTTACAAAATGATGACAAAAATGATCTCTGGGACTTTGCAAGGTCTCTAACGTTAACTTTTTAAATGCTTCATAGTGTGTTCAGCTAAAACCAGCCACCTACAGGGTGCTTTTATCCCCTCTCCTTTAAAAATATGTCTTAACTTTTACTGAAGTGAGTTTACTGGGCCCTGTGACCACTCCTGAGCATCAGCTTCTCAAGACTCCTTCATCTAGCTCCCTGTCGCAGAGAGTCCGCTCCACCCTCTCCTGTGACCACTCCTGAGCATCAGCTTCTCAAGACTCCTTCATCTAGCTCCCTGTCGCAGAGAGTCCGCTCCACCCTCACCAAGAACACTCCCAGGTATGTGGAACTGGCTTGCTTAGAAATGAAAAAATGACTGCTTCCTTCAACTTCTTTCCCATCACACTGAAGCGTATTGAAAAAAAAAATTTAATTAGATCTTAGATAGTGGCTAGACTTGAAAAGGAAACCTGGAGCCATAAGGACCCCCTTTTTTGAAAAGGGCCTAAAGGAATTTACTGTTTCCCCTCTCTCATCTCAGGCTTCAAAGGGTAGCTTACAGAGGAGCTGTTGGGGGTTTCCAACTTCTGGTTGATTTTATCAAGTAATGTTAGAGTTGTTTATTTACCATTTTTTATAGAGTACTGTTCCAATTTGTTCTCTGTTTTAGATTTGGGAGCAAGAGCAAGTCTGCCACAAACCTAGGACGACAAGGCAACTTTTTTGCCTCTCCAATGCTCAAGTGAAGTCACGTCTCCAGTTACTTCCTGGCATTTACTGACGGCAAGGAAGGGCACCTGTACTCTCTGTTCGGCAGCCTCCTGTACTCATTACTACTTTTAGCATTCTCCAGGCTTTTAATCAAGTTTAATTGTGCATGGGGGTTTTATTAAAACTATATATATCTCTCTCTGCTTCTCAAGTAACATAATATCAACACCTTGTGCTGTCATTGGTGGGAGCTTTTAGATGGGAGATCTTTACAGGGGTGGAAGGGATAATACAGAATTCATCATGATTTTTTTGGGGGCTGGGGTGGGCATCCCTTTGGCTTAAAGCCAAATGCTATTCATGAAATGACCTTTCTCTGGTGTTATTTAGAACAGATATCCATGAGACAATGGCAGAAGCCTTACCTCTTTGGTAAGACTGACTTATCTCAGTGGGACGGGGGAGGGCAGGTAAAGAAAGTTTGGACAGAGGGTTTTGAACAGCTCCTTCTGAGAACTTGGAGGCACCCTTCCCCCATTATGAACTGAGTTATGACCTGCAGCCTTCCTAAAAATGGGATGGGGTGAAGACGAAACTAGTAATGGGAATATACTTAGCTTTAATTTGGATTGATTAGGTTTAATAGTATTAAGTGGCATGACCTTGTCAAAGTGATATTACAACTTGTATTTATCTCTAACGGGCCTCTGGCTGGACTTCGGGTTTTGTTGGGGTCAAAGCCATTTTGTTCTTAAGCTGAACTCATTCTGATGCTGGGCTCCCCACCCCCTTGTCCATTGGAGCCCTACTTCTAAAGGTCAGTATGCTGCCTATTTGGCATCCCAACTAACAATTAAGAGTAAGTAGGCTCTAAGGGAAGATTGTCAATATTTTGTGTGGCAGAAAAGCCAGTAATTTTGTCTTTGCACTTTGGTTGCTGAAATCTTCCTATGGAACATAGCACATCTGGATAAATATGAGCTTTTTCTTCTATTAAAACTATTTCCAGTATTATAAAAATGTTTTCTTCAATAGAATGTTTCTCACCCATAGTGACCCTTGTCTATAAAACACATATTTGGAATAACATTTGGAAAAAAGTAAATAGTTTTTTCAAAATGAATGTGCAGTCGGCTTTCTTGTCCTAAAAGGTAATCTTCAACACTTTTCTTTGAAAATATTTTTCAGAGTGTTTTGAGTCTGTTCATCTCCATCCCTCTCCCATTCCAGCTTTACCACCACCAGGAGTTTGTTTCTTCGTTTCTCATCAAGTATCTTTAATTGTCCAAATTGAAGTCCCAGATTTGTCCTATGACTCTTACCTCTTGTTTGAAGAAACTACTTTAAACAAAAAACAAACTTTTAAAATGAGTCTTTAGAGACCAGAATGGTGCAGAATTTAAAAAAAATGATCCTGGCTGCCTGGAACATCCTTCACGGCTGGAAGTGACTCTGGAGTGAGTTGGCATGATTAACTGAGAGCACCTGCACTTGGAACTCTGAAGCTGGTGAACAGAATGTATTTGAGATTGAGTGTAAACAGTTGCAGGCTTAATATGTAACCGTGGAGAGAGGAGGCAACCTACTGGCTTTTTTCCCAGGAGGTGGCTGCTCTCACAGCAGGGAGATTTTGCCTCAGCAAATCATCAGAGGATGGGTCCCATCTCCCCAGGCTCCCCTTTTACACTCACAGGCCTGTGGGCTCTATTTTTTTAAACTTTGTTCTTGATGCCTTCACTTTTCTTACATCTCTGCAAGCCTCGTGTTGGCCTGGATCCATATCTGCTGTTCAGTAGTATCTCCCCAAGGTGCATTTGAAGTCGCTAATGTAGGGGAAGTAAATGGATTGTATAATGTTAGGGAAGGCAAGGCTACCCTATGCAGGAACTGATGGCCCATTAACGGAAAAGGAAATGGTCCTGTGTGTCAGATGTTGGCAGCCAGTTGCTCAGTTTTGGGCTAGGCCAAGAGACCTAGCCATGGAAATAATTCTGATGTTAGCGAAGGGAAATATGTACCCACCTTCGCTTCTTTAACAGTACTTCATGTGGAACAATTTGACTTCAAGGGCTTTCTTAATTAAATTATACTACCACTACCTGATGTAAGATCTGTGGAAAGGGTCCAGTGGAGTGACTGTCACTCCCATCTCCTATTTCTGCTCCTGGACTGCCTCTCACTCTGCCTTTCATGCAGTTCAACTTTACTATTTCATTTGCTAATAACTTTAACCTTTAAATCTTGAAATCCATTTTCCATTAGTCTGTGTAAGACTACTAAGTTTGATGTTTATTTAACTGAGCAAGCATTACATGGTTTGATTCAGCAACACCAATTTGCATTTATTACTACTAGGTGTTTAAAGATCTTTGCTTCCTTGAGACAGTGCATTCATTGCTTGCAGAATAGAAGGCAAGAAGGCATATGAGTTTTGATCAGAGGACTATGGAGTATTCACTTGATTCACTATGGCAAAAATAGTCATCCTGGCTATGAACCGAACCTGTGGCATCTGGAAAGGAGCCTTGTATTTTTAAGTTCATACTTAAATTATCAAGCAACTCAAAGGGATAAGTACTGCTTAGTGAGTGCGGGGGGCAGAGATACTAGGATGCTGTTTTTGGTTGGTTGCAGGAGGACCTCCCTGCCCACCTCAAGCGTCAAATAGGCAGACACATACATATGCATATCCGTATGGTATGTGATTTTGCTCTTGGAAAAGCTTTTGGGAGACCCACTGCTGTGCCTGGAACACCAAGTGGTTTGTTTAATCAGGCATCCCCTTTTCTTGGACTCCCAGCGTGTGCAGGAGAGCACTTGTGGAAGTCCAGAGCAAAGAAGCAAGGTGGCTGAAGCTCAGTGGTCAAGTCGGCAGAGCTCACCCGGAAGGTTGTCCACCCATATGCTCTGGAGATGGTCTTGATCATGACTCAAGTTTTAGCCACTGGTGCAAAAGCTTTTAAGCTTTCAGGGTCAGGGCATGTTAGTCACTGTGCTTTTAGTGTAAACAGCGTTTGGAAAATGGCTACTTAACTGAAGAATTTAGTAATTAAAAAGATCCTGCTCCCTGCAGCTGCTATATTATTTTGTAAATAAGTGAAGGCCCCAGGCCAGGGGGTTCTTAACTTGTATAGTTTATTAGACTCTGGTTCTCCCAGTCTGTATTTGTTGATGGTTTCTATTCACGAAGTCAGGCAGAAGACAGTTTGACATCACCAGACCTGACCTTGTAGTGTGTGGGAACCTTGTCCTCTGCAGTCCTGTGGGATGGGAAAGGAGGCCACTCTTTGGGGACTCAGTTGGAAGCAGAAATTTCTCCTTTTGTCTGCCTTCTCTCTCTCTAACTTGCCAGGCTTCATTTAGTTGCATTGTTTTTATACAGATTCCTCTCACATCTCACACAGTTGGACACCATCTGTGTGCTTAGCTCAGACACATGTAAATGTATATTTAGGCTTCTAATAGAGCACTTGCCAGTCAATATCTTCTCTGGTCATGAATGAAGATGGAATTCAGAACCGATTCCCCATAAAGCCTCTAGGAAGTACAGTGTGATTTACAAAAACAGTGCTTTTATTTATCATCTTACTTGAACTCACCACACCCATGTGCAGGGGAGCATAGGTGACATCCCAACTGACAAATTCAGAAAGGCATTTTGGCTCAAATTCCCACAAACTGCCACATAGTTTAGCTGGAATGAGAACCTAGGGGCTTGCATTTCCCACTTTGGAGGTCAGCTGTGATACTTCTTCAGCATCATGGGGCCTGTTAATATATTATTGGGTACATAAGTGATTCCACTCAGGGCTGTATGTGGATTTATTCATATACTCTCAACAGGTAACCCAGAAAGAGCAGGGAGGCCCAGACTGCTGGGAAAAGTATTTGGGACAGGAGAATGTCCTAATGGTTGGGGCATTGTCCTAATGTCTGGTAGAATCGAAGACCTGGGCCTGGTGATCTAGAGCTGTTTTCTGTGTGGAAGGAGGAGGATGAGCTGGTGTGAGCACTTGAGGTCGCTCCTGGTGGGAGTTTGTTCTCAGGCCACCCATGTGCATCTTGTGTGCTCTGAAGCTTAGAGCCAAGAACGGGCAAGTCTCTGAGCCAAAACCATCAGCTTGCTTCTAGCAATGCATCAGCGGATTAGCTTATTGGCTTTCCCTGTGAGTGGCATTAGCTGTCACCCCGTCTCGTGCTCACCATCTGGCTTTGAGTAAGAAGTCTTTGAGTGATCTCTTCAGCAGCTTGCTGTGTGCCAGGGCTTTCTGAGGGCTGTTCACTTTCTCCCTCATCAACCTTAGGGCCCAGTGCTAAGAAGAGGTAGTCAGTCTGTTGTGTCCACACATACGCACACCTAGGATCAGAAGAATAGACTTCAGACAAAAAAAACAAAGGAGAATGAATCTGTGGTTAGTGGTTAAAGTCTTTGTTGTCAAAAGTGGATCTATCCTAGGGGAGTTTTTAAAATGGGAGTCGCTCCTGCCACAGAGAAAACTCTTTCTGCCTGTGAGATGATATAGTTTGTCCAGGTTTTAATAGAGTGAGAGATATGAAGGGGCTGGGAATTTTCTTCCTCATTGGAAAGCAAAGCCTGGGGGAGGGGTACTTAAATGAACCACATCCCTTCCTCCCAGAGAGCTGGCTGCCCTTTCCTCCTAGGAGATTGACTGGGGCTAAATGCCTGATGCTTCTGGATTGAGTCCAGCCCCTCGGCAGAGCAGCCACACTGGAAATACAGCTGCTGGCATTAAAGGGCTAAGCCCTTTCCAGCTGCTTTGCTTTAACAGGAACTGCCTGCAGTCGGCAGCTTAAGGGAGCTGTCTTAGCCCAGATTAAGAGGAAATGAGTAATCTCAGCATCTTCTCATGGCACTGGCCTGGAGGGTCTGGGAAAGATAACCTGGTAGGGTGGGAAGTGGTTGGGTAAATGGTGTTGGAGTGCTGGGTGATTATCTCCTCTGAAATGATGGTCCCAGCTTGGCATGTTTTGCCTGCATGAAAAAAGTGGGATCTTCAGTGGACTCCCTGGCATTGAGGGAGATGAGGTGTTTACCATGGGGGGTGGCCTGGGTACTTAAAAACTAGAAGAGCAACAGGTGTGCTAGAGGTACTGAGAGCCCGTGAGGGCGATGGTACCCACTCTTGGAGGATACTTGAGACCTTCCAGAGTGGGTCCCGCTTTGGCCTTCCAGTCCCCTTTAAAATCTGATTTAGTGAGCCAAGATTTGAATGGTCATTTTCTTGATAGTAAGATGCACATAAAAACATATTTTAAGATTTCTGAGAATTGGGATGTCTGTAATCAATGGTAGCTTAAAAATACAATGCAGTATTTCTTAGTGGCTCATAAAATAGTGATGCATCTTACTGTCCATGTTCTTTGGGTTAGAAGTGTTAGCTGTTACTGGGATAGACTGAGGGCCAGACCAGACATGGAGGCCAGGGAACCTGCCACTTAGCTGTAATCAAAGAGATTTAAAAGAGGGGGTTCCTCTGGGTCTGAGGGAAGCTGCACAGAGGAAAAGCAAGGGTCAGCCCCAGGACATCTAGCATGAAAAGGCAGACGAGCACTGCAGGGGGGTATCGACATCAGTCCAGGTATGGCCCTCAGAGCTGTTACATCTGATCCCTGAGTCAGAGGGGGCAAAAATCACTGTGAATCAGTGAGGCTATGACCAAAATGGTACCTATCCTGGTGCGGCTCTGAAGTCACAGTACAGTACGGAGACATGTGGGCACCTTAACACTTCACACATAAGAGGTTAGAGGTGTTAAAGACTGGATAGGGAGTTGGGAGTATTTATTGCAATTCTTTGTCCAATTTGCTTACCAGATACAGAATTACCAGGTCTTTGCTCCCTTGAAACTGGAAGGCCATGGTTTGGGGACCAACAGAAAAAGGGCAGTCAAGTGAAGGAACCTGTTGCCCTGAGATGAGAAGTAGGGTAAAATATAATTTTGTTTAGGAAGGTCTTCCTGCTTGGGTAGAGAGAGCTGTTCAAATAACTATGAAATCGTGTGTTAGATGCAAGAATGCAAGTGGGTGCTCAAAGGAGGGGGAACCTGGAGGCTTAGGAGAGTCTTAGGCAATGACAATAAGGTTAGATCCCATATGAACAAGGCAGCTGGAGAGGGCCAGAAGCAGATTCTGGGCTAAGGAAGCCCTTTTAGCCTGGTGCTCCATAACCAGACACCCCCGACTGCTGTCCTGGCCTCATGTGGCTGTGGCCGGAGGCCGGCCTTATCCATCTGTCTGGAGTGGTGGGGTGGTTGCTGGTCCCTGTCCCTGTCTCTGGCCCTCTTCACCCCAGCTCTGGCAATAACTGGCCCTGTATCTGACTTAACCAGAGGTCTGAAACAGTTGTTCACTCCCCCCTTTTCTGCTCATTAACTGCATCCTATTAATACCACTGGACTCCCCGCTCATAAAGCCCATTCACTAACCATGTCTGCCTTCCAGCTTTTGCTCAGTGTAACTGCCCCTTGGTGTGGCTGCCCCTCCCTGAGAAGTGATTACAGATCTTGACTGTGAGGACCCCCTGAGAGGCCACCACTTGGCCTAACGCTTCATCCTGATTAGCCTTTAGCTTCTCCCCTCCCTGTCTTCCGCCTGATGTGGCTGGGGCCCCAGCATTGGCTGTGGGTTCGCCTCTCTCTTGAAGGGAGCTCTCCCATCTGCTCCAGGTCCTGTATTCCAGCCCTCTGGGCCCAGAGGGACTGAGGTGATCTCCTCTCCTGACCCAGGGGACTCTTGCAATCAGCTAGTTTTAGATCACTCGACCTCATTACACATCAGAGGTCGCAGAATTTGATCTGGGCTGCCTCTTAAACCCCCAGCTCTGATGGCTGCTCCCTTGTTTCCTTAGCTCTCACAGGAAACCCACAGGCTCAGAGTCCTGCTGCTCTTCACCTCGGTGTACGCCCCCAGCCTCCTTTCCTCAGTCCCCGAGCCTCCCACGGTCCAGTTCCCAGGCGTGATCACCGCAGCGGCCCAACTCTGTTCTGAGGAGGCCCATATGTCTTGGGTTGGACTCTTGACTCTCTTTTTCTTGGGATCCTCCTCCTCAAACACACACATTCTCTCTCCTCTGCTCAAGCTGAGCCTGGTTATGGGGAGGAAGTGATCCTTTCTTTAGCAATAGCCAGTCTGTTAGAAACTGCAGGCAACACAGCTGAGCCCATTGGCAGAGGGCGCAGGCTCCTCCAGAGATGGAGAGCTGGCTGTGTGGCAAGCACAGCATGGAATGCATCCCATGGAGTTCTTCCAAGCCCCCGTGTGAATCGACCCCATTTTCTAGTTGAGGGAAGTGATGTTCAGGATCCTTAAGTACCTTGCTCAAGTTCACACAGCTGTAAGTGCCTGGGCCTTTAAACTATTTCAACCTCTATTCTACCTTTATGTAGTCTTTTTTATTTTTATTTTTTTATTTTATTTTTTTTGAGAGGGCATCTCTCATATTTATTGATCAAATGGTTGTTAACAACAATAAAATTCAGTATGGGGGGTCAACGCTCAATGTACAATCATTAATCCATCTCAAGCCTAATTCTCGTCAGTCTCCAATCTTCTGAAGCATAACGAACAAGTTCTTACATGGTGAACGAATTCTTACATAGTGAATAAATTCTTACATGGTGAACAGTACAAGGGCATTCATCACAGAAACTTTTGGTTTTGATCATGCATTATGACCTATAAACAATCAGGTCAAATATGAATATTCGTTTGATTTTTGTACTTGATTTATATGTTGATCCCACATTTCTCCTATTATTATTATTATTTTTATTTTTAATAAAATGCTGAAGTGGTAGGTAGATGCAAGATAGAAAACATAGTTTAGTGCTCTAAGAAGGCAAATGTAGATGATCAGATGATCAGGTGTGTGCCTATGGACTAAGTATTAATCCAGGCTAGACAAGGGCAGCAAGACATCCACGGATGCAGAAGATTTCTCTCAAAGCAGGGGGGGTGAGGTTCTGAGCCTCACCTCTGTTGATCCCCAAATTCTCACCTGATGGCCCCCCGTCTTTTTTTTTTTCTTTAAACCTTGCACAGATCTTTTAGGTCAAAGTGATTTTCTTTGGAAAGTGAAAGTCTCTGGATCATCATCTTGGTCCGCCTCTCCCCTCAGTACAAGGAGCCCAGGCGTGTCCCAGAATCTCTCTGGGGTCTCCCCCTTGCAGTGTGGTCCCAGTGTGTCCTCTTTACACCCTGGAGGTGGCAGTGGGGGTGGGAAGTGGAGAGGCGCTTCCTTCCAGCCAATGGGGCAGCAACAGCCTAGGCCCTGTGCTCACATCATCTGCTCCTGCTAAGACAATCATCAACATAAAAGGCTAATAGTATTAATCACCAAGGCACCCGTCCTGAGTACCCCCTCCCTTTGGGGAGAATTATGAATTGCAATTGCAGATGGCTCCCCTGATTGAAGGCAGTGCTCAGCAGGGAGAAGGCCCAGATCAGATTAACCACCATTAATTAAAAACTTTCCCTGGCAAACGGGAGGAAGGGCTGGCACATCAAGGGTCTGCCTGGTTGGGTCTCTGTCCTCCCCAGGTTCCCACACCGCACCCAGGCCCAGGGGCTGTGACTGAAGTGTGTTGCCCTGCCCCGGCCAGAATCACGGAGATGTGGCTGCTGGGAGGCCAGCCCTTGCCTCACCCAAACAGATAGCCAGCTGACCTATACAGGGCCCGGAGGAGCAGACACCAACGTTTGCTGACTCGTTCCGGGGTCTAACTTGGGATTCTCTTTAGAGTCTAACCTTAGTCTGATGGAGCACCGCTTAAAAGGACTGTTCGTGAAAAGAGACACCAGTTTTCTCTCCTGGCAACACCCTTCAGTGCCGGAAGTTCCTGGGACAGAGATCACAGAATCTGCTCTGGGGTAGTGGGTGGGGGCTCAAGCGTGGCTGTGCACCCTCTTCCCAGCAGCCCCTACCCGTGAGCAGAGGTTTCTCAGCTGCTGTCATCTCGGCTCCTTTGGAGCTGTAACTCCTGAATTCTCTTGATCAATTACTGCCGCTCCTTCCTCCCCAGCCACCCAGCATTCATTCGTCAAACTTACATCGAGCACCCAGCATGTGCATGGCTCTGGGGATGCAGAAATAATTTGTCTAGGAGCTTAGCCTATTGCAGGAGCTCCACCCCACTGCCCTCTTCAACTTTCCAGTTCCTGCTTCCTTCCCCTGGCTGCAGCTTGTATAAGCCCCCTGGAGCTCTACTTTGGAAAATTCTAAGCTTGGAGCAGGGGAGACTTTAGGTGGCTGTGGTACTGAGCAGGGTGACCTTTAGCAAGTCAATCACATCCTCCACACACACAGAGAGATCTGCTCCTAAAAGGGCACAAGAAGCCCTGGGCTCTGAGAGATTGGAGATGGATGAGCAGGGCCCAGCCTGGAGAGATGTGAATAGTGCTGGGCCCCGACCGTGTTACAGAACACTGAGGACGGCTACCATGGCCACAGGCCTCGGGGACTCAGCTCTTGCACTAGTCACAGGCTGGGCCCTGTCACCCTGCCCTTGAAAGACTTTGGCAGCCCTTCCCCCATCCCCAGCGCCTTTGGAGACATCATGGAAAAGGACCCATCTTTTTTATGGATTCAGTACCTCAGGGTACCATGGTGATGGGCACCATAGAGATGAGAGGAACTGACTTTTATTGGCTTGTCTCTTCACTCCAGGGTCCCTCCGCAACCCCGCACTCCGCACACTCACAAAGCCCCCAGGTCAGGAGGCCCAGGAGAGGAGGAGGCAGGACCCTGGTGAGTGGGGCAGATGAAATGAGAAAACAGACTCTCTTTTCCCTCCCTCTCAATTGTCTCCCTCTCCTTTCTTCTCTCCTCCCTCCTCTTACCAACAGCAGTTGTTCTCAGACTCAATAAGTACAGTAACAGCAACAATAGTCGTCATTTATTGAGTTTGTTTTCTAGCATTTTTAACTTCGAAAAACAATTCCAAACTCTTGCTTTCACAATTTCCTGGGGGAGAATTGTGCCCATTTTACAGCTGAGGAAGCAGAGGTCCAGAAGGACCCCAAATCATAGGCAGAGTACATTCACAGCAGTTTGTCAATATTAATGAACTGATAGCGACTCTGGTGATCCTTCAGAGGCACCTAATTGCAAATCTTCATTGTCTGGGTCAGTCCCTAGTTCCTTGGGATTTAACAGATTTTTGGGGATCCTGGTGGAGCACAGAATGATGCTAGGGACAGCTGTGGCCCCAAGTCATAGACCGAGGGCTGGGCTAGGAACTCCCCCCTCTGAATGCTTGTTCCTATGAATGAGCCTGTGGGGTGGACAGTGGGCAAATGCCTGGGGAGGGCCTGCCCTGGAAAGGCCTGTTTGGACCAAACCTCCCTTGCCTATATCCTGCCCCTCTGCGAGCCCAAGAAAAGGCTCCTCTCCATCAGCTTTTCTCAAGTGGATGTCCTCTCTTGAATTTGGAAGAGTGGGGAATGACCATCTATTGGGAGGGCAATCTGTCCTCAGGAAGCCCCCAGTCTGCAGTGAGAAGCCGTAGCCCCCAAACCATACCCAGGAGCAGATCTATTCCTCTGAGGGATGCAGAGGCTCTCCCAGGGCCTGATTCTTCTGGGAAGTCTGGCCCCTCCTCCCCAAGGGTAGGGTGAGAAGTTAGGGTTCCCTGAGCTTCCTATAGCCCTCAGTCTCCAAGCAGAGTGCTGTCTGGGCTCCAATTCTGGAGTCCAGATGGATGAGAGACGGGGAAGGCAGTCATGAATTCCCTTGCCTTCCTCTGCTCTGTCCAAGTAAGAAATGTGGGAGGAGGAAACTGAACAGATTTGCTCCCCAGATCCTTTTTGTCTAGAAATGTAATGCAGGGATAGGAGCTGGCATCCCCCACCTACTCTGTTAGGACAAGCGGCGAAGCCTCCCCATCCCCTCTTGCAAGCTTCCCTTCCCCCAGGAAAATCCAGAGTCCAGTCATACAGGACATGCTGCCCACCTCCCAGGCTCGTCTCAGTAGGCTGAGGACAGGGGCCACGTTCTATGCCATCTGATGCACATTCCCCATTTCAGTGTCCCCTGAACTGGACTGGGATTCTTCCTTCTGGGGCTCCACCCCCATCACTTCGTCCACCTCCGCAGCACCCTTGAGGATGGCCAGTCGCTGGGCCAGGGTCTTGGTGTCCGGGAACAGGATAAAGTTGTAGATCAGTGAAGCCAGGACAGCTCCTGTCAGGGGTCCCACCCAGAAGATCTGAGGAGGCAGAGACATGAGCACTGCCCATGAGCTATCAGGATCATGGGGTGGCTCGAGACCCTTACCTCCCTCCCTAGTGTTGACTTGATGCCTGAGGAGCTCTTGCGCTCTCTACGAGGTGGCAAATCTGACAAGCACAAGCTCTGGCCCCATGTCCACACAGATGAGGGGACCTTGCCTTGCAGGGGTTGGGCCGGCCTCCTCAGCCCTCCTGCCGGTCTCCTCTGGCCTCCCCTGTCCCATCCACGAGCCCTGGCTACTGCTGTTCCTGTCTCTGCTGGGGTGTGTGTCTATTTCTGTTTGTCTTTTCTTTACCCAAGTTTGGAAAATGGTCCAGCTGGAGAAAGTGAATAAAGAAAAAGCCAGAACTTGAGGCTTGGGCCAAGGCTGCAGCTCCCGTGCTGGCCTATTTATTGCCAGTTGACTGGGTACCCTGTGCTACTGAAGCTGGGCAGAAAGGAAGTACAGGCTAGGATACTCGCCCTGGTCTTCTGGGGGTCAAGATGGTCTGTGGTAGGGAGACTTGTCCCCCCAGATCTCTGTGGACCCAGCACAGGTGCAGCCACAGTCCCTATGCCCCTACCCAGACCCTCTCCCTTCCCCATGGCTACCAGCAGGGGGTCTCACCCAGTGAACTGTGAACTTGCCAATGATGACAGCAGGACCGAAGGAGCGAGCTGGGTTCATGGAGCAGCCCGTGAAGTAGATCTGGGGAGCAAGCGTGAGTTCAGGTGTGAGGAGGATCAAGACGGGCCTGGGAAAGGACAGTCCCCTCTGCCCTACCTCAGAGCCCTGGTCCCAGCATCGTCACCACAGCACAGTATCCCCGGGGCGTGGGGGCCCAGCCCCAGCCCCAAGGCACGAGGGGCTCAGGGAAAGACACTTCCTGGTCCTCAGAGCCCCTGCATTCTCCCCAGGGGGGACCAATGTGTGCGTGTAAATGGCGTTCCATCTGTCCCTCACCCCAATGAGGTGGCCCAGTGCCACAGAGATCCCAATCATGGTGGCCGGGGAGCCGGATGCCTGACGACTGTCGGTGGAAGCTAACACACAGAGCACCAGCTGCAAGGTGAGCACCAGCTCCACTGTCACTGCCTGGCCAGTCGAGGTGCTGCTCCGGACCTGGGTGAGGGGGGTATGCTGGAGCCTGTGGGGCTCTGCCAGGGGATGGTGACCCCCTGGGCCTCATTTCCTCACTGTAAAGGGGGACACCTTACCTCTGCCAGTCCCAGGACCTACAGAGATGACAGACTGGGGAGAGCTGTACGGGGGGCTCAGGTCAGCCCTGGATACTTGCTCACTGTGCAACTGAGTGGCACCCCCACCAGCGCTTGTTTGGGGCCACTGGTTTGGTGGAGAGGCAGGGGCTCAGGAATGGGAAAGGGAAGCTGGGATGAGTGTTTGCAAGCCAACTAAGAGGAGACTGGCTAGGAGTGGAAGAAAGAGACAGAGAAGCAGGTGGAAGGAGAGATGATGAGGGGAACCCGGGGGGGGGGAGGAGGAACATGGGAAAATGGGAGTGGGGCACACAGGGTAGGCTGGGGAGAGAATGGAGTGCCCTCAGGGTTCCCTGCCACTACCCACAGCCCCAGCCCTCTGGCTACCTTGACCCTTGAATACCTGGTACCCCTGTTCCTTAGTGTGGCTTTTTCCCACTCCACCTGTTCCTTGTACCACAATCCCATTCCTGTCTTGCCTGCACTCAGGCCACAGTCCAATTCTCCTGGGTGCCAGAGTACAGCCCAGACTGGCATGGAGCATGTGGCCAAGTTGTTACCTTTCTGTCCCCTCCCCTCGGGCCTAGTCCTCTACCCTTACTACCTTTTTGGATACCCTCTTCCTGACCCAGCCAGGTGCCCCTCCCTGCACCTACCACATTGACCCCAAGGGTCTCTCGGATGTCCCCTGGTGTGACCCCATAAAGCAGAGCAGCTCCCACTGTGGCCCCTGCCAGCTGGGCAGCCACATAGGCCACAGCACGGGGTAGGGAGATTTGGGAGCCCACGAGGAAGGCCAGAGTCACGGCAGGGTTGACATGGGCCCCACTGGCCTTCCAGGTGACCTGCACAGCCATAGCCGTGGCCAGGTTGAAGGTGATGGCGATCTGCAGTACAGAGGGAAGGGCCGAGGGCCAGCGCAGGGCTGAGCCCACGCCAAAAAACACATAAAGCCCCGTGGCCAGGAACTCGGCAAACAGCGCCTTGCTGATGGCTGTCCACAATGGGCCCATCAGCATCCTGGTTAAGCTGTGCCCTCTTGGCTCCACTGTTTCCAGCTCCTGGTGCCTTGGCTGTCACCTCCTCTGTTCCCGGGATCTCTGTTCTCTTGCCTCCGATCTCCTGTCTCCTCTGGTCTCTTGTCTCTGGCTGTCTCACTGCGTAGAGGCTTCTCTGGCCCCACCTGCTGCCCCAAGGACTGTACTGGTCAGAATGGCAGTAAGCAAGCTGACAGGGCTCAGTGTGTCTGGGTGGGTGGAGGTGTGTGGGTGGAATGAGGGGTGGTGCTCACATGCTTGCTCCACCCTGAGCTCACCTGACATCTGGTGCGGGGGCTACCCAGATGCTGAGCTGGAACTTCCCAGCAAGATTCCAGGCTGGACCGGCCTAACTCTGAGAGGCCCAGCCTGAGGGTGCAGGCACAGGAGTAGTGGTGGGCCAGGTTGCCAGGGCGTTCACGTTCCCCAGTGTCAGCTTAGATAGAGCAAGATCACTCAGATCCCCAAGTCCAGAACCTGCTTCAGAGGGTCCTGTGCATTCCCAGGGACCCTCTTCTGCCTCCTCTGCCTCCAAATGGGCTCACTGCTGTGCCCCATAAACCTAGATGTGAAATAATGCTCTCTCCTCTACCTAAAACCCCACTCACAGAAAGCAGATGTGAATAGTCAACTCTACTAAGGACAGGTGTGTGTGGGTACAGAGGGCCAGAGGGGGGAGGGGTTTGTCCCACAGCTAATCAGATGACATGCATGGCTGTGGGAACCTCTGCCACCTGCCAGCTGGGAATTTCCACTGTCCCTCATCAGCTTCTCCTTGCCTCTTCCTGCTTTCCTCTCCCTCTGCCTCCCTGCTCAGGTGCCAAAACAATTCCTCATGCCTCACACAGGGCAGCTTACCCATTTTCGTGGCTATGCCGGCCCTCTGGTTGCCCATGCCCTGGGCTTTGCCTTCTTACAGCAGCATAAGGTATTTTCTCAGATAAAGGTGTTCCCTCCCTAAGAAGAATCTGCCCAGCTGTTAAAATAATACAATCCCCCCTCTTAGCCACCTCAGGTGCCCTGACCTCATCCCTGGCCATATCTTCCCACCCCCTGGGTGCCCTTTGGTTGTCCTCAGGCTCCTCAAATGCAAGCTATCTGGAAATGAGATCCTCATCTTCCCCTGCACTCTCCCAAATGCACTCGTCCTGTTTTCTCCAGCTCAGCTGGTGGCACCTGAGAAGCATCCTTGACCCCCTCTCTCCTTCCTGCCCCATCCAATAAGGCACCAAGTCCTGCTGATTTTGAATCCTAAATATTTCTTGACTGTGCCCTCTTCTCACCACCCCTGCTGCCCTGCAGGCTTTCTCTGTCGGCTCCCTTGCTCCACTCCAATCAATTATCCACACTGCAGCCCCAGTGATCTTTCTAAAATGCAAATCTGATCCTGCTGCTCCCCTGCTAAAATCCCTTCAAAGCCTCCCTGTCCCTTCTGCAGGCTCTGCACTGGCCTACAAGGGCCTCTGCCATCCTGCTCCTCCTACCTACCTCTCCCCACTCCTTGGCTTGCCCTTTACCCTCTGGCTGGCCTTACCAAATGGCCAGTGGTTCTGGAGCACTGCCTGCTGGGCTCTCCTTGGAGGATGTTCCCTCTTCTCCTAGGAGAGCCCTTGCCCCACTTTGCTTGGTAACTCCTGACCCATCCCTTAGGCTCAGCTTCCATGTCATCTCCTCTCCTGGGTGAGGGCCCCTCTGTATGTTCCCAACACACCTGGGCATTTTCATACATGACTGTTACCATAGGGTATTGTCATGGTGCTAATGTGTCTCCCTAATGAGACAGCGAGCCCCTTGGGGGGCAGGAACCCTACATGTAGTATCTTGCACAAGGATTGGCCATAGTAGGTGATAATTAAATATTTGTTCAATTAATGAAATAGATGAATAAAAGCTTGTTGACCTCCTGGAGGCAGGAGACTTTCATGGCTGCTTCATTTCAGCTGCCTATTTATAGGGCCTTACATCTGTCCTCACCAGGGACTGGGCCCTCTGAAATCTTCAAGTGAACCATCCTAGCCCCTGTCCTTCCTCTGTCCCCTGTCTCAGTCCCAGAAAACTCCCTCCCTACCCAGCCATCCTGGCTTCACCCTCCCTCTGCAGCCAGGTCCCCTGGCATCAGTGCCCCACTGTCCTAGCTCCTGTTCCTTCCCCCACCCCGCCTGCACCTCTCCCTTCTCATTCTCCTCCACACCCCACTGCCCCCATCTGATCTGCTGAGAACTGCTGGAGAAACTCGCCCAACCATGCAGACTGCTGCCATGACAAGTCCATGGTCTTTGGCCTCAGCAGGGGTCGCGGCTCTGCTCAGCAAGCCTTCCACCACCCCCAGTCGCCTCTCTCCCATTCTTCCAAGGCCTGCTTGAATCTTCCCCCACTCTCTTCTGGTGCTTGACTCCCTCTGGCTTTCTTTCAGAAGATCAACTTGCCTCCTGTCCCACCTAGAAAGCAAAACAAGCCCCAAGATGTCTTCCAGTCCTTCCTCCCCAGCCGCAAACTCTTCTGCAGCTTCCCCAGGCCCTCACCAGCTTCCCTCTGGCCCTGAAGAAGAGGCTGCCCTTCTCCTGTGTCCAAATCAGTGCCACCTCCCTGTCCTTCTGGCTCCCCCGGAGTGACTCAGGCCATCTCTTAGCCAGCCCCCGTCTCATCTTAGGTCTTTACTTCTCCCTTTACTGGCTTCTTTATAAGGTGCCTGGGTAATCACAGAGCAGCGGAGAGACCATGGGTTTGAAATGCTTTTCCTTGTTCTCTCTTTTTCAAGATTCTACTCAAGTACAGTTCCTCTAGGCAGCCTGCCCTGATTTTCCTCTCCAGCAGTCAGGGCAAACTTCGTAGAGAAGCTGGGCTTGAGCAAAGCCAATGACTACTTAAGGCTTCAGCCTCCTCACTGCCTCCACTGTTCACTGCAGACTCCCATACATGCCTGGTATAAAGGAGTCTTTCCATAAATGCTCAAGGGATGAAGGAATGTGGCTGTGGAGCAGTGCGGGTGACATTTCTCCCTGGCATGGTAGCTTCCTTGCTTTGGGGCTGCGCCAGGGAACCTTAAAGACCTTTCTCTCCTTGACTCCTGTATGGCCTCCCAGGGCCATAAATGGCTTCGGGTCGACACCAGCGCCTACATTTTACTGAGCCTCAGCTTCTCAGCACACCAGGCATCAAAGAGCAGCAATACCTATCTGCTGAGAGCCTTTGATAAGACAACACACGTCAGAGCATTTGAACGTTGCTGGGTATACTGCACCCCTGAGCCGTGCTTAACTTCTGGACCTCAGTTTCCCCACTTATAAATTGGAGATAATTCCCAATTCCCCATGTTTTATTAGGAGTCAAGGTGCTGATATCTAAGTGAGTGTCTCCAAGTCAGGAATGTTGGTTATAAGCCCCTCCCTTCTCCAGTGAGACAGGTGTGTAGCTGGGCTCTGGTGGGAAGAGCCTGGTTGCCTTGGCAGCTCCAGAACAAGCAGTACAGAAGCCCCTGTCCAGGCCCTGGCAGCTGAGATTTAAGTGCAGCAGCAGCCCTTGTATCCAGCTGGCCTGCAGCAGAGCCCCCAGGCCCTGCCTGACCTAGGACAAGGCCCTTCATCCCAAGATCAGGTGGGCACTGGCCCCAGCTTGCTCCAGCTCCCACCAGCACCTCCCTGTGCCCGGCCAGTCCTGGGCTATAGTGGCAAGCTCTGAGGCCACTCATGCTCGGGGGTATTTGCCAAGGCTCCACACCTGGCTGTCTCCCCAGACCACTGGGGTGGGCGTCTCGGTGGGGAGGTGTATGTGCCTGTGCACACAGGGTAACGTGAGCCCCAACTGAGGTCCTCTCACACTTGGAGATGTAGGGGAGCGAGAGGGGAGGAGGAAGGTGCTGGGAGAGAAGAAGAGTGAAAATGAAAGCAAGTCAGAAATAGAAGGATTCCGGGTAGCTTCCCTTGCATCATCCCACCAAACCCCACAAAATGTGGAAGAGTAAGGCGGTCTGATATCCTACCCCACACCTGACTGAGGAAGTGGCCGAGGCAACGTGGGGCTGAGAGAGCTGGCCCTCCCCGCTACAACTCCTCCTGGCCATCCATTTCGACAACCAACCTCCGTCCGTCCATTCTGTCTTTACTCTAGTCCTTCAACTCTCCTTCGTGTCACCACGTCCACCCTCCTATCTGGTGAAAACCGGCAGCCCCTGGTCAGAGGGGGAGGGGGAGGAAGAGAAGAAAGCCCCCTATAAAAGAACCAAGGCTGTTCCTGGGTTCCATCGTCAAGTGGAGCACAGGGTCAGCGGGGTGACGGACCACGTGTGTGCCTGGGTGTGACGCACAGGTGCCTCGGAGAGAACTCTTGGAGCCAGGCTTCCAGATCTGGTAATGTGGCTCTGCACACACGCGGAGTGCGCAGGCCTTGCCGAGAAGACCCAATCCTCTGGGTACCACTCAAGGGTGGTGTAGACGTGCGGGGTCAGCGTGTGTGTGCTCCTGTGTGCGCAGGCCTTTGTGAGCCTGGGCTGAGCAGCGTCGGGAGGAGCAGACAACAAGGAGCACAGCGCCCTCTGCTGGCCAAACAGCCCGAACCGCTGCGACTTGTGAAGCCGAAGCCTTAGGTGGGCCCTCGCCCTCTGGCTGGGCCTGTAACTCCCTCGCACTGGGGGGTTCCTACCCACCGTTAACTGTCTTTCCCCCACAGGCCCACCGTTCACCCCGTCAGGCTCTCTCTGAGGCCCGTCAGATGAAGGAACGCAAGTTGCTGGGTTGGAGAGAGAGGCCAGCCTCCAGTCATGGCTGTGTCTGTACCAGCGTCTTACGGAGACTGAGTAGGCAAGGGATCCCCTTGTCTTCCGCCTGCCCTCCCAGACAGCGGGGTTGGGGCGGGAGGTTGCTGGCCCCGGCCTGAGCGACTCCCTGTGTCTTCCACCCCCACGCCTCAGCTGGCCAGAGCCGAGACCGCGGACTTGAGGAGGAAGCCCAGCCGCTGTGGATTCGGTGGTCGAGGTCCCCCCCTGCTGGCCGGAGCTGCACTTGCGGCCTGGCTCTACGGCCTGGGCAGAGTGGAGATGGCTGGTGGGGGCCTGCTCTTTACTGGGGAACCCAGGCTCCGCCCTACACTGCCATCTGGTGCTAACTGTAAGCCAATGAGGCAGGCAGGGCAGGGGTGGCTGCAGCTTCCATTTACAGCAACTAGACTCGAGTTTGGATGAAGGCCAGGGAGTG